CGATTTTAATTGTTTGTCGAAAGATTTTAACTGTTTACACGACTTAATTGTTTTTACAACGATTTTAATTGTTTACACAACGACTCTATTGTTTACACGAAGATTTTATTTGTTTACATTAAGAATTGATAGTTTACATAACGATTTGTCTCTGGAACGATTGTAATTGTTTATGTAGTTTTGATCATTTCCACAACGATTTTAATTGTTAACATGGTAATTTGTTTCCACATCAATTTTAATAGTTAAATTGTTTACATAACAAAATGTTTGCACAACGATTTTAATTGTTTATATAACGACTTAATTGTTTGCACATAGGTTTTAATTTTTTACACGGGAATTTGTTTACCCAACGATTTTACTTGGTTAGACGACCACTTCATTGTTTGCACAACGAGTTTAATATTTTACAAAGCGATTTGTTTGTGAAATGATTTTAATTGTTTACATGAATAATTAATTGTTTACATAACGACCTGTTTACACAACAATTTTAATAGTCAACGTAATGTCTTGATTTTTTCCACAATGATTTTAATTGTTTACATAAAGATTTTTAATTGTTTGCTCAACGTTTTTCATTGTTCACATAATGATTTTAATTGTTAACATAACAATTTTTTACGTAACCATTTCAGTTTTTTATGAGAATGATTTTAATTATTTACACAACGGCCAAGAAAACTTTTCAAACTGTTGCTCAAAAAATTAATGTTTGCGCAGCAATTTTAATTGTTTACTAAGCATTCTAATTGTTTACGAAAGGATATTCATTTCCCCGCAACAATTTCAGTTGTTTATACGGCAATCTTTTATAGATACAATTTGTTTACGCAGCAACTTCACTTTTTTATAATAATATGAAAACAATATTTTATGCAATATTTTGTTTCTTTCTTTACCCAATGCTTTTTAATTATTTAATTAATGAAATGCAGCTAATTAAAACATCGTGGTGATCACAGTGATTCTACATATTTACTCAGCACCTGTAATTGTTTCCACCACTTAATTGTTTATGAAACGATTTTGCTTACTCAGCTATTTTAATTGTTTAAGCATCGCCTTTATTTTTCACCCAATCATTTTATTTGTTTACACGATTAATTTAATTGTTTACGAAACGATTTATTTGCTCACTGACATATTTTATTTGTTTACGCAACTATTTTAATTGTTTACGCAATGGTTTTAAATGGCGGTGCAACGAATTTAATTGTTTGCGACTATTTTCATAATTAACTAGCAAACCCAGCTGGTCGATCAGAAAAAGCGTTCAATTAGAATGGAGCAAAGGCAGTATCATGTTTGCATGTAACACAGGCTATCGTCTTCAACTACTTTAAAGTACTTTCATTAATTTTTTTAAAAATTAATGCAGTTATTGATATATTAGAGAAATAGTCTGCATTTATTCAGTTGAAGTTAGCCGAGGACATGAAGGAGTAAAACAGGCAACCCACACTAGAAGAAAATTATTCTGGAATTTTTTAAATTTACTTTGTCAGTCTGCTACCTGAGATGTAAAAGAGGATTATAAGGCAATTGTTAAGACTGATGAAAATTGGTTTGAAGATCAACGAAAAATAAGAAAGAAACCAGTAAAAATCGCCATTTTTTCGCTATTTATGCGGATTTTCACTATATGGGTGAATTCACTTATCAGGTTAAATGACTGTTAAACATACAACTTATTGTTGGCTACAATTGAGTGAACTTTATATTAGATTGCTTGAAAATTGAGGGAGCTTTTAGTTTAACATTTGTGTTGAAATCGATTTTTCCTTTTTCGCAGTTCTTCGCTAAACGCAGTGATCTAGAAACGAAAATGAAAAATCGTTGAGATCGTCATGATATAAGTAACCAACATACCGAGTTTGAGCGAAATCGGAGGAAAAAGGTAAATTTATCGATATTTGATCGACGTTAGCGATTATTGATTTTTAAAAATTATCGATTTTTGACGCTTATAACCTGTCTCTTATATTCTATAATGTATGCGCCAAATTTGGTTAAAATCGGTTGGATGGATCTCGAGTGAAAATGTATCACTCAGACAGACAGACATCTTCTGTTTTATCTTACTTATTATAAAACGCAGATTGTGTGTGTGTGTCTGTGACGTTTATATATTGGATCGGATTTCCTACATTTTTCAACCGATTTCATCAAAACTTCACAAGACTACATAAAATTACCTTGTGGTGGTTCTAACAGCGCCAAAAATGGGAAAAATATAATTGTTTTTGCACAAAATCAATTTGAAAACACGATTAAGAGACATCGTGAAAATGGAAGGGGGACACCTCACATCGGGTTGTTTGTATGTGTGAGTTCCTTTAAATATGGGAGCGGATTTCCCATATTTTTCAGTCGATAAAACAAAACTTCACTTTTTTTTTGGCAGGTAGTGTTTCTTATTCTCTTGCACACTTTTTTCTTTATTTTTAACATTCAGAATGCTTTAAAAATTCCATTTACAAGACAATTATTTATAATAAAATTCTATTAAATTGGGAGACTCATAACGATTGAAAACAATGTTTTTGTTTGAGTTTGGGTTTGACCAATTCGTAAAAAAAAAAAAAAAACTAAAAAAAACTAATTAAGACATGCGTATCCGTCAACCTTAAACAATAATCTAACGATCTCTACTGATTGTACGAATACAAACATCGGAATAAATTCTTTATCTTTAGGGAAAGATAATGAAATCTAAACATACACAAGTCCTAACTAAAAATAATAACTGAACGGAAACTACTTTAAATACACATGGTTTCCAATTTTTTTTTACTGTATTCAATAAGTAAAAATCATAAATTGTAAAAAAGATTATTATATATTACAGAGAAGGCTACTAAATGAATAAGATTTGTTAGATCATAATTAATAAACCCAAATAAAGTTAATATTTTTTGTATTAGAAACAACGAGTGGAAAATATATTCAAATCAGAATTCTAATTATGAATCACCACAAGCAAAATATGCAATTTTTTTTACTGTATTCAATAAGTAAAAATCATAAATTGTAAAACTAAAAGATTACAGAAAGTCTACCTACATTTTTCAACCGATTTCAACAAAACTTCACTTTTTTTTGGCATGTTGTGTTTCTTATTGTCTTACACTTTTTCTTTTATTTTTTACATTCAGAATACTTTAAAAATTCCATTTACAAGACAATTGTTTATAATAAAATTCTATTCAATCAGTAGACTCATAACGATTGAAAACAATGTTTTTGTTTGAGTTTGGGTTTGACCAATTTGTAAAAAAAAAAAAAAAACTAATTAAGACATGCGTGTCCGTCAACCTTAAACAATAATCTTTGTCAATTTTATTATTCAGTCTTTATGATGGTGGATACTTGATCTATCTCTTACTGTTATATCCCCGGGCAACGCTCGTATATATATATATATATATATATATAGGTAATCTCCCAACGATGTATTTGTTTACGTATTTTACTTGTTTATGAAACGATGTTTGCGCAGCGATTTTAAATGTCTGCGCCACGTTAAAGATAAGAGATACAAAGGACAAGAAATTGTGGAGAGCCATGACCACCTACGTCCTGAACGGACACGGTACATAAAAAAAAAACAGAATTATGTGAAATGTATGATCGAGAAAACACGGAACAGAAGTATAAGAATAGGCTAAAAGAAGTAATAATCAAGTAAAAATCGAAAATCCTTTGGTAGATGAAGACAGAATTAGATACGATACTGGAATATTTAAAACAGGATATTATGGTTTTTGTGCCCCTTTTCTTTTTACCTACTGAATTTTTGGGGAAACAGAGAAGCTAAAAAGGGGAGAAATATTAAGTTCCTAAATATGGATCCAAGAGGGTGCGGAATTGAAGTCGACTGTGATCCCCACAGGTATTGGGGTTTTAAATTCTATCGGTAAAGAATCGGCTTTATAACATCATTCCCCACATATACTTCAGAACTCGATGGGGCGCCTCAAGGCGGTGTAATGGTTAGCAGGCTTGTCTCGCTAGATCAATTACAACTGAGTAGTGAGTTCGATCCTGGTTGCCCCATGATTTCGGCCTTGTGACACATCTAAGCTACGCTTGGAAAATCCCTATACTTCAAAACTCGACAAAAATTCCAGACTTTCAGGAAGAGCTGGGACACTTGAGGTGTGCGCTGAATATCTGGCGTTGCGAGTAGCAACTTTACACATACTGGCGGCCACTGATTGAAGGTGTTCCCGAGTATATCGAACTCCCTTCCAGTAACCTTAGTTAACAATTCATTAAAAATTAAAATCTCATCGTCTCAACCGGCCATGATGTTTCTCCAATATTTCCACTTGTGGAATGAGATGCTAAGTGCATCAACCTCCAGTAGTCATGCCCAATTAAGCACTTTCAGCAAACTGACAAGAAAACGTCAGGAACTGTACGGGGTTAACAGGACTGGCTATTTTATATTTTTGAAGCGGGCATGAAAAGAGTTTACGGACACAGTAATTTTGAAACCTTGGTTCGCGTGCGATAACTGTTAAGCAACGTCGAGCCTGCTCTGTACCTTGCTGTATGATCACAGATACTGTAAGCATAGACGTGCGGGTGATGAAAAAAAAGAAAGAAATAAACTAAGAAAGACAACGAAACAGAAGAAAGAAAGAAAGAAAGAAAGAAAGAAAGAAAGAAAGAAAGAAAGAAAGAAAGAAGACGAAGTAAAATAATGAAAGATGGAAAGAAAGAAAACGAACAAAATACAGGATATAGAACAAACGGACGGAGAAAGAAAGAAAGAAAGAAAGAAAGAAAGAAAGAAAGAAAGAAAGAAAAAGAAAGAAACAAACAAACAAAATAACAAACAAACATAGAAACATAGAAACAAACAAACAAACAAAACGAAGTAAAAAAATACATCATATAGTAGAAAAGGACGGAGAAAGAAAGAAAGAAAAAGAAAGAAAGAAAGAAAAAAGAAAGAAATAAAGAAAAAGGAAGAACACGAGTCAATACTAACACTGGAAAGAAAGAAAGAAAGAAAGAAAGAAAGAAAGAAAGAAAGAAAGGTTAACCCAATATGAGTAGGAATAGAAATAAAATAGAGAAAGAAAGAAAGAAAGAAAACGAAATAAAACAATGAAAGAAGGAAAGAAAGAAAACGAAAAAAATACAGCATATAGATAAAAACGACGCAGAAAGAAAGAAAGAAAGAAAGAAAGAAAGAAAGAAAGATTAACCCAATATGAGTAGGAATAGAAATAAAAGAGAGACGGAAAGAAAGAAAGAAAGAAAGAAAGAAAGAAAGAAAACAAAATAAAACAATGAAAGAAGGAAAGAAAGAAAACGAAAAAAAATACATCATATAGATAAAAACGACGCAGAAAGAAAGAAAAAAAGAAAGAAAGAAACCCAATATGAACCCAATAGAAATAAAAGAAAGAAAGAAAGAAAGAAAGAAAGAAAGAAAGAAAGAAGAAAACGAAGTTTGTAATGAAATTTAAAAAAAATCCGGGGTGTGAGAAAAATGAAAATAAGAAAGTTAAAGGCTGAAAGAAAAGAAAAAGGAAGGAAATAAAGATCTGAAATAAAAATGAAGGAAGGATGTAAAAGGCTGAATAAAGATGAAAAGAAAAAAAATAACGGGAAGAAGAATGTAATACATTGAAAAGAAGGGGGAAAAGGAAAGAAAATAAGGCCGTAAAAGACTGAAAGAAAAGAATAAACGAAAGAAAGTTACGAAAGAATGACAAGGCTGACAAAATTGATAAAAAAAAAATGAAGGAAAGGCTAGAAAAACACCGAAAGGAAAGAAGAAAAAACGAAGTAAATAATGAAGTAAAAACGAGAAAGGAAAGAAAAAAAAGAATGAAGAGTAAAAAGCAAGGACGTAAATGGCTGAAATTAGAATGAAATTAGGAAAAAAATGAAGTAAAGAATAAAGAAAAGGAAAAAAGAAAGAAGTACTAGGTTGGAAGAAAGGAAAAACTAAAGAAAAGGAAGGTTGGATGTAAAAGCCTAACAAAATAAAAAAAAATGAATAGAAGAAGACCCAAGAAGCAGAAGGAAAGAATGAAAAAAGATGAAGGAAAAGAAGGAAGAAAAAGAAAACATGGAGCTAAATTGATGAAAGAAATGAAAAAAGGGCAGAAGAAAAAGAATGAAATAAAGGGATAAAAATAAGAAAAACAAAGACAGAAAAAACGAAAGAAAAATGTTAAATCGAAAGAAAGAAAGAAAGAAAGAAAGAAAGAAAAGAAAACAAAATGAAGTAAAAGAAATGAAGAGGGAATACAGGATATAGAACAAAAGAAAGAAAGAAAGAAAGAAAGAAAGAAAGAAAGAAAGAAAGAAAGAAAGAAAGAAATTAGTGGAATGAAAGTGAGGCATGAAGCGGTGAAAAAATAAAAAGAAAGAAAATGAAATGAAGGAAAGAGGGAAGGAAGAAATGTATGCTGGAAGGAAGAAACCAAAGAGTAAAGATAAGAAAGAAAACAAACAAACAAACAAAAGCGGAATGAAAATAAGAGAGGGGGAAGAACCTAAAAGGCTGAAAGAAGAGTAGGAATGAAGGAGCGAAGGAGAGTAGGAATGAATAAAGAAACTAAAGGGCTAAAAATAAGAAGAAAGAAAATAGAGGAATGAAAAGGGAGAACATGAAGGATTGAAAAAATAAAAGGATGTAAAGGAAATAAGGAAGGAAATCGAGGTTGGAAGAGGAAAAAAGAAAGAAAAGAAAAATGTATTGAGGAAATTGCGGCAAAATGGAAAATAAAAAAGGAAATAAAGAAAAAGAGAGTGTAAGAAAGAAAGAAAGAAAGAAAGAAAGAAAGAAAGAAAGAAAAGAAAAGAAAGTGGAAGAACACGAAGCGATACTAACACTGGAAAGAAAGAAAGAAAGAAAGAAAGAAAGAAAGAAAGAAAGAAAGAAAGAAAGAAACTAGAGACCTGAAAGGTGGTGAAGTGGGAAGAACGTAAAGGGCTGAAAAGAATAGGAAGCAATGTACTGCAGTGTTTGCAGATTAATAAAAAAAAGGAAAGGAATAATAAAGGAAGAACAGAAAAAGAGGCTGAAAGACGATAGGAAGGATGGAAGGAACGAAGGAATGAACATCAGAAGAAAGGATGAAGAGAAAAAGAGGCTGAAAGGCGATGGGAAGGGTGGAAGGAAGGAACGAACGAACGAATGAACGTCAGAAGAGAAGATGAAGAGAAAGAGAGGCTGAAAGGCGATAGGAAGGATGGAAGGAAGGAAGGAACGAACGAATGAACGACAGAAGAAAGGAAGAAGAGAAAAAGAGGCTGAAAGCCGATAGGATGGGTGGAAGGAACGAACGAACGAAGGAATGAATGTCAGAAGAAAGGATGAAGAGAAAAAGAGGCTGAAAGGCGATAGGAAGGGTGGAAGGAAGGAAGGAAGGAAGGAAGGAACGAATGAACAACAGAAGAAAGGAAGAAGAGAAAAAGAGGCTGAAAGGCGATAGGATGGGTGGAAGGAAGGAAGGAAGGAAGGAACGAATGAAAAACATTGAGAAAGAAAGAAAGAAGAAAAAAAGAGGCTGAAAGGCGATAGGATGGGTGGAAGGAAGGAACGAAAGGACGAGCGAATGAACAACAGAAGAAAGGAAGAAGAGAAAAAGAGGCTGAAAGGCGATAGGAAGGGTGGAAGGAAGGAAGGAACGAATGAACAACAGAAGAAAGGAAGAAGAGAAAAAGAGGCTGAAAGGCGATAGGATGGGTGGAAGGAAGGAACGAATGAACGTCAGAAGAATGGATGACGAGAAAAAGACGCTTAAAGGCGATAGGAAGGGTGGAAGGAAGGAACGAACGAATGAACAACAGAAGAAAGGAAGAAGAGAAAAAGAGGCTGAAAGGCGATAGGATGGGTGGAAGGAAGGAACGAAAGGACGAGCGAATGAACAACAGAAGAAAGGAAGAAGAGAAAAAGAGGCTGAAAGGCGATAGGAAGGGTGGAAGGAAGGAAGGAACGAATGAACAACAGAAGAAAGGAAGAAGAGAAAAAGAGGCTGAAAGGCGATAGGATGGGTGGAAGGATGGAACGAAAGGACGAGCGAATGAACAACAGAAGAAAGGAAGAAGAGAAAAAGAGGCTGAAAGGCGATAGGATGGGTGGAAGGAAGGAACGAACGAATGAACGTCAGAAGAAAGGATGAAGAGAAAAAGACGCTGAAAGGCGAGAGGAAGGATGGAAGGAAGGAAGGAACGAATGAACAACAGAAGAAAGGAAGAAGAGAAAAAGAGGCTGAAAGGCGATAGGAAGGGTGGAAGGAAGGAACGAACGAATGAACGAATGAACGTCAAAAGAAAGGAAGAAGAGAAAAAGAGGCTGAAAGGCGAGAGGAAGGGTGGGAGGAAAGAACGAACGAACGAATGAACGATAGGAGAAAGGAAGAACAGAATAAAAGAAGGAAGGAAGAAAGTGAGAGAGAGAGATGAAGAAGAAGAATATATTGCGATAAGAAAATGAACAATGAGAAAAATATTAAGGGAAGGAAGAATAGAAGGACGTAACAAATGAGAGAATGAGAGAGAGAGAAAAAAACAAAGAATAAGTACAAGGAAAGCACAGGAAAGAAAAAAGGAATGGCAAATCAAAGAAAGAAAAGATAAATAAAAGCTAAACTGGCGAGATGAAAGAAAGAAGGAATTTAAAAAAAGGAACTAAAAGCTAACATACAGGAAATCTTCATTCATTTTCATTTTTAAACGATAGAAAGAAAAAAGATCAAGTATTGAAGAAAAAGTTAAAAATATGCAAAAATTTGACAAATAAATAAGAAAGCAAATTTGTTTAAGAAAAAAAAAGAAATTAAAAATAAATAAACTTTTCTCCGTTCTATTTTTCTTTTTAAACAATGGCGAACACCCAACAATCAGAAACATCGATAAATATATACAGGAAAACAGCAAAATATAAAACAATCAACAAAGAGAATAATAAAATTTTGAAAATAGACGACGTGTAATTCTGCTGAGGATATTCAATCACTTCTAAAATTAATGAGAAACTGAATATTCAAGGAAGATAGAGCTATCAAATGCAAAATAAATTTCGCTAAAATTTACCCAGTCCCTGCTTTTTGATTTATTAAACTCTTGCCTCCCAGGCAACGTCTTTCCGACAATTATTAATGGCCGGCCGATGTTTGGCGTCATTTTCTGAGCACTAATTTTCAGGGCAGATGTTTTTGTTGGAAAATGATAATAGTCAGTGTTGCCCATCAAAAATGATTGCCTCGCTCTCGCATGATAATTTTTGGAGAATCGTGACTTTTTCTAAATTTCTCTCAGAAGAATCGAGCAGGATGCAAATCTCGCCTGATATCGCTGCTTGTCATGTTCTGCAGAATCGGTCATTCTGACACTGCGTGGTCTGCTGCTAAGAATATGTCCACAACAAAATTTCGAAATAGAAAAGTGAGTGAAGATTTTAACCAAAGTACTTACATCGTCAGGTTTCTAATTCATTTTGTACCGTGTCGCCTCAAAAGTTAGGCGATCGTGGCTCTCCACAATTTCCTGTCCTTTGTAATTATACTTATTATAAAACCCAGGTTGTGTGTGTGTGTGTGTGTGTGTATGTGTGTGTCTGTACGTTTATATATTGGATCGGATTTCCTACATTTTTCAACCGATTTCAACAAAACTTCACAGGCCTACGTAAAATTACCTTGCGGTGGTTCTGACAGTGCCAAAAATTGGAAAAACACAATTGTTTTTGCATGAAGTCAATTTGAAAACACAATTAAGAGGCATCACGAGAATGAAAGGGGGACAACTCATATCGAGTTATACTTATTATAAAACCCAGGTTGTTTGTGTGTGTGTGTGTGTGTGTGTGTGTTCGTTTATATATGGGATCGGATTTCCTACATTTCAACAAAACTTATTTTTTTGGCAGGTAGTGTTTCTTATTGTCCTCCACACTTTTCCCTTTATTTTTACATTCAGAATGCTTTAAAAATTCCATTTACAAGACAATTGTTTATAATAAAATTCTATTCAATCGGTAGACTCATAACGATTGAAAACAATGTTTTTGTTTGAGTTTGGGTTTGACCAATTCGTAAAAAAAAATAATAAATAATTAAGACATGCGTGTCCGTCAACCTTAAACAATAATCTTTGTCAATTTTATTTTTCAGTCTTTATGATGATCGATACTTGATCTATCTCTTACTGTTAAATCCCCGGGCAACGCCGGGCTATACTGCTAGTTCTTAATAAATTTTGTCTTTAGAACCGCCCCTGTCTCCCATTAGAATGTCTGATGCTCAACTCCACGTGAGGACCTCTTTGCGACTGCTTCGTTTCACAGTGTCCGATGACCTGAGATGGAACAATAATATTGAATCAATAGCTTCATCTACCGCAAGGAAAGTTGGTTCCCTGTGTCGCGCCAGAAAGTTTTTCTCGCCCGAGTCAGTCCTATAAATCAACCATTTGCCATGGCATGGAATATTGCTGTCATATATGGTTTGGAGCCCCCGCTGGTCATTTCAGGGTCTTCGACAAAATCCAGAGACGCATATGCAATGTGGTTGACCCTGATCTGGCATCTCGTTTAAAGTCGCTCTCTCACAGACGTGCCGTCGCCTCCCTCTGTCTTTTCTACAAATCCTTTCACGGTGACTGTTCCGACGAGCTACTTTCGTTAGTACCCAAACTGCATGAATTTAAACATGCCACTAGGTCGGCATCTCGGTCCACCTCTTTCACTGTCAAAACGGTTAAATATAGCCATCTCTTCTATTCCAATAGCTTCCTGTCTCGCACTTTCCGTCTGTGGAACACACTTCCTCTTACTTGCTTCCCTGGTAGCTATAACCTTCATTTCTTTAAATGTCAATCGATATCTCCAGATGCTTTGATTTTTTTTCCCCCGTCCTTCTCTTCACCCTTTCCTCTTTCACGCCTCTTTACTCTTGCTCCCACTCACTGTAACCCCTTGTGTGTTAGTGGCACTCCCGCCTTGCCTGGGGTGAAAAGTTTTTTTTGTTTTTTTTAATCCTTCCTAAACACTGTTCCGCCATCTATTTACTTAAGCTCATCAAGAGTGTTATGCACTGTATATATTTGTTCTTCGATATACGTTAAGATATATTTCGTTAGAAAACATGATCGATCGAGAAAAATCGTTGAAGGTGTGTGTCTATAAACAGAAATTCAGAATTTGCTAACCATTTATTTCTTGTGGCTGAATGGTTAACAGCACATCAGATCAAATGGGGATACAGGTTCGATTCCTGTCAGAGAAGCATATATTTTCTACGAAAATTCTCGAACATTCAGGCCTTTAAATGTAATTAATGTCTTTGTGTGTTTGGAATAACTAAGCAACGAAAAAAATATTCCAATCATCCCTTGATGATGAAACTGTCGTTCAACAGTTAAGGTTTAATATTGAAATTAAACTTGAATATGGATGATCAGTTTCGAAACAGTAAATTTCTGTGTCGCGATGGAACCATGTTTTTTTTTTTAAATAATAATCTAGGGTCTACTTCTGTACCGAGTACTGTTTTTTTTAAATAAAAACAAAAATACTAAATAACTTCCAGATCATCAATATAATAATTCCTTCCTATTATATCAACACACACACACACACACACACACACACACACACACATATATATATATATATATATATATATATATATATATATTTATTTATTAAGACATTTTTATGTCTAACGTTCTTTTAAATGTCTTTAATAAATAAATTGTCGGACTATGTCCATTTCTTAATATATTATATATATATATATATATATATATATATATATATATATATATATATATATTCAGTAGTATGGATATGTGTTTGTGACCCTGGATTTCAAGCTTTTGCATTGTATGTCTTTGAGTATGAGAGTGTCATCCCAAACCGACACGGGGGAGATTTCTCCCATCCCCCATCAAACATAATCAAACACAATAAAGCATAAATATATCCAGTTTTTAAAATAATATACCAATTTGTCTGATGATCGCGAAAGTGTGAAACGGAGGGTCAAAAACTCATTTGCATACAACTGAATATGTTAGCTCTATCAATGATATTGAGCACTTTCTAATAACTACTGCGTATGTAATATATACATATATATAATATATATATTAAGATATTTTTATATTTATACATTCTTTTTATAGATACAAATATTTAAGTAAATGCTCTGTTTTATAATAAACAGTATTAATAACATTTACAGGCCTGAATGTCCGAGGACTTTCATAGAAAATATTTGTTCTTCGATAGGAATCGAACCTGTATCCTATACGGAACCGTCATATAGCCTGACGTGCCTTAACAGATCGAGTCACGATTTTACTGCTTTTAAACTTCAATCTTCCATGAATCTCTCACATCCATTCATATCTGCTCAAAGCGTATCCAAATGTAAACAAATGACGTCACACATTATGAAATGGACAAAGTCCGACAATTATTTTAAGACATTTTTCTATGAAAATGTCTCGGACATTCAGGTCGGTAAATGTTATAAATACTGTTTATTATAAAAACAGAGCATTTACTTAAATATTTGTATCTATAAAAAGAATGTATAATCATAAAAATGTCTTAAAATAATAAGAAAGGGAGGAGGAGGATGGGAAGAAAGAGGAAGAGAAGAAAAGCAAGTGTATTGTAAATGGTGGCTTAAATTATTTTTTATCCAGCCTCACATGCACTTAAGAAAAATTTTCTGATATGTAAGCAAGGATTTTGGATTTCTGCTTTAAAAGGTTCTTTGGATCCGGTAATGTCATAATTGCTAATTTTTTCTGTTGGCAGAGGTTTCAAATATTGTTGTGATTATTGTAAGGCTTTGCCTTTTTAAAAATGTTCCACCTTTGAAAACGATACCTGTTGTTTCTTTCTTTTAAATTCCACACATGGTTAGCTAGTTTGGTAGAGTACCTAAGATTTGTTAGTTTAAATGATCACCTATCATTGTACCATCTACATTTGAAAGTACCTTCCGTACACCCTATGTACGTATTATTTTGGCAATTAATATCTGTTACTTCTGCTTTATAAATTACAGCCTCTGTTTTACATGCTCCATTTAATGGACATCTATTCTTATTTCTGCAGTTGCATGAATTACTAGTGTTATTTTGCTGCACGTTAGTTTTAAGATTTCTAGCATTTTGTCTATTTATTATTTTTTTCTAAATTACTAGTGCAACTGTAGCTTAATTTGATAGTGTTTTTATTTAATATCTTATGTAATTGAATAGCTTATGTGATTCTGAACTAGTTTAGATTTTTAAAAAAATAAAAAGGCGTTAGGTGCTCATTTAATAAAAATCACCTGAGAATACCATAAAGTAAATATATATATGGTTAATGGTCAAAATAATCAAATATTAATGTTTATTGACTTACAAAGAAGATTATCGGTTTAAAGCAAATATTAAAAATTCATACTGAAGACGAAGTCAAAAAGTGAGTAAATTCTTTTGGAATCCTTTATATATATATATATATATATATATATATATATATATATATATATATATATATATATATATATATATATCATAGAAAAAACAATTTATACAGAAAATTAAGTAGCAATGTTAATGTAATTAATGGCGAAATCACTTGCTAACAAATAATATAAGCTGCACACTTTAATATATATATATATATATATATATATATATATATATATATATATATATGCATCAATTTATTTCACAAGATTGTCCTTTTGTATGCAGTGGTTGGAGTGGCTTAACAGTCCAATCTTTGCATGACATTCTCTTCGACAGGTGTGGCAGATGAAGCTGGAATGGGGCAGAGAGGATTGCATTGGTCTCTCTCTCTCTCTCTCTCTCTCTCTCTCTTTTCTGCTTTCTTCATTTTTTTTAATCCCCAAAATTGGTTTCAACTTTTCTCGGCCTTCATGAAACTTCCATAAACAGCACACACACATACACACTATATATATATATATATATATATATATATATATATATATATATATATATATATATATACACTATATATATATTCTCTCTGTTAAGGTTTCATCTCCCCTCCTCCTCATACTTACACTTTCTCTAAATTCTGTTTTGATTTCCGGAGTTGTTTTTTTTCTGTTTTCATTTTGAATTTGTAGGTCTGATGATTTGGATCG